TTTGGGGGTGAAATGATATTTCTCTCCATAGTATGCATCCATTCAGAAAGTATTCTGTGCAACTCTCATATTTGTAACACAAGAGGTAAGAGAAGGGGAAAAAATGAAGTATTAAAAAGTAAGTAAAATGTAAATTTGAATGAAACATAATTATATTTTACTTATAAATCAAATTGATATGATTTTAAAATAAATCAAGAACCAAACCGATTCTTACGGTTCCAAAAAAATTAGAATTGTAACTGAACTGTTAAACCTCTTGAAACAACCATAGAAACTAATTTGATTCGATTCAATTTTACGATTTTAAAAATTGGCCTTTGCTGGGACCCCCAGTGACCCCCCCCAGTGCCACATGGGGCTTTGCCATTGGCTGAAAGCAAAAAAAAAAAAAAAAAAAAAAAAAGTTTTTTGGGCCAATGAGAAGAGCCCCCAGCATCCCCACTGGGGTCTCATGCATTTTCCTTAAAAATTTTATATAATAATAAATATGGTATATATTTAATGTTAGTAAACAAGCCAACAATAATTAGTTTGGTTAAATTAATTAGAATTTATCAATTTTATAATCAAAAGTAATATTCAAATCTGATAAGAATTATATTTTAATTTTTACAAATAAGAATAAAAAATAAAAAATAATAAACAAATATATCATAATTCGGTTTAGTTTGAAACCAGAACTAAAACTTTGGAACCGGTAATCGAACCGATTTCAACGGTTCCACCATTTTTAGAACCAGAATTAAACCCAAAACTAATAAAAATCAGACAAAACCGACAGTTTAGATTGGATTGGATCGGTTTATCAATTTTATCAATTTTTTTGAACATCCCTAATTTCAATTACATTTTCTTTTTTTTAAAAAAAAATTATTCAAATTCATGATCCAAATACGACCTTAATCTTAAAAAAAAAATAAAAATTAAAAAAAATTATGGTAATTGGAGCGTATATTGAGTAATTAGGACAGTTTGTATCATGTGTGATGGTATTATCCATGGTCTAAGGTGTAAAATCTCTGTTGGACCTTATAATTCAGAGGAGGCTTCCAAATGGGTAACCTATGTTTCCTTTTACTTTAAAACCAAATGGAGAAAAGCAAAAAGCACACTCCTCAACATACCTCTTCTTGTTTCTTTCACATTTGTTTTTTAATGGCATTGCTACGCTGTGTTATGTATATGCAAACCACTCATCCAACACCATTGATGCCCTGCTTGAATTACATGTCCAAGAATATCAAACCCCACAATGCCATGGAAGAATTAAAAAATAATTTAAAAAGTAACCAGAAAATGAAATGTTTAGATTAAATTTATTTTAAGTGTAACTCACATTAATTTAAATTTATGCCGTTAATTTCATTTTCTGACACTTTTTTCATAAGTAATACAAACATAAAATATATACCGAATGATTTAAGAATAAAAAAAACCCATCCAGATGAGTCTTGGTATCAAAATATTATTATTTTAGTGAATGATCCCCCCATCCAAAAAAACACATCAAACCTAGCTAAAGATAAGAGCTTATCAAATGGTTAAGTAAAGCTTTTGCTATTACCAAAAAAATAGCATCCCACCCAAAACACATCAAACCTAGCTAAAGATAAGAGCTTATCAAATGGTTAAGTAAAGCTTTTGCTATTACCAAAAAAATAGCATGAAGTTCTAAAATTATTTCTCCAATGGTGAGGTAAAGCCAGTTATTATAATTTAGTATTGCTATTCCCCTACTTATATCTGGCACAAGGAATAGTTATAGGTAAAATTATTAGGCCTCGTTTGGCAAGTGCCTATTTTAGTCAAAAAGTCAAAAAGTTACTAAAAAAATCAAAAAGCCAACAACTCATACAAAAAAGTCATAGATTCTCTTTTCTCTCTACTTTTTGCACATCTTTTCGTAAAAAGTCAAAAAGTCATCTCAAACATACTAATTTTTTTAACATCACATTTTAGCCAAAAAACCAAAACGTTACTAAAAAGGTTTGTTCCCAAACGAGACCTAACTCATCAAATAGAAAGAGATAATTATGAGTGGTTATGATTAAAGGTAGAAGTTCACAATTTAATGGTTGTAATTACAACAAAAAAATTATAGTAAAGACATCATTACAGGAATACTGTTAATTTATAATAATTTGTCACTATTCATTACTAAGATGATTCGAAAAAATTACAAAAAAAGAAAAAAAAAATCTCACAATCTGACCGTAGTAATAAATCAAATTCTAACTTTTTAATTCAAACCTTTAACTTTTAAAATGATATCAATTTTAACCATCTATTATTTAACAGGGACAATTTAGACAATTTAACTATTTTTTGTTAGTGGTGTTGGAAGGCGGCAACGGTGGCTATGGACTAGGGAAGGAATGAGAGGTGTGGTACTGAGCTGCATGGAGACTATTGTCCTCCTTGCGTGGAAACTTTCTTTATCCTCTTTCCAATTCGTTTTATATTTCAATGTACTTTATTAAAAAATTTATTATTGAATGTGTAATGTATTAACTTTTGTGCTTTCCATTAAAAAAAAAAAATAAGGAAAAAGGAAGTCAAAATCCACTCAAGTACTACATATGGATCAAATCGTTCAAATCTGAAATCTGAAGTTCCCATTGGAATTGGACTTGAGAGCTATTTCATTGTATTCATATCCTCCACCAGATTTTTACAATTCTCTGTTTTCCTTTTGTGATTGTAGTTTGTGTTGTATATTCTCCATCTTGGAACATATTATGATTCAATTACACATGCAATCACTGTAAGCAAGATATTGCAGTACTCCACGCCTACCAATACTATAAACAATAATTCAATATTTATCATATTTTCTTATCACGTGTTGTTTATGATACAACCGTGCTAAATACCCCCACTGGGGGTCGACCCCCAGTGAGGTGGCGGGCCATGATTCGCTGAAAATCAGAAAAAAAAAAAAAAAAACAGTTTTTTTTTTTGGCCAATGGGAAGGCAACACACACGACCCCCAGTGACCCCCACTGGGGGTCTGAGGCATTTTTGTTTATGATATTATACATCGAACAAACAATCATTGATGCAGTGGAGTCCCACAAAAATCCCATTAATACCTAATATTTGTGAATGTGCCACATCAAATAATATACAAATTGTGATATAAAAAGCTGATAAGCGTAACATTTTTTTAGATTCATGACAAGCGTAACATTGTTATACAAAAAATAACTCTTAAAGCACCAATATAACTCTTAATGCTGTTGATCAAATCTAAAATGTAAATGATACCTCCGCTTGAATTCCCAAGAAATAGCCTAGGAAGAAATACAATTTGTCCATTAATGTAATTCAAGATGATCATATTTTCTTTCCATAGCATGTAAATAGAGAGATGAGCATTTAAAGTAACCTATAAAGTTCAAAAAAACTAAAACATCCATGTCACAACTCTTGTATGTATGGCTTAACTACAGACTGGGTCAAAAAAATGGATTCATTATTGTTATATATGCTAACAGCATCAAAGAATAGGTCATACACCCACTTTTGACAGGACTTGTTCCCTCAGGGCAATTTTGTCTATTGGCTGATCTGCAAGAGAGATCCTCAAGCATAGGTTTAACAAGTTAAATGGCGACACGTGGCAGTTACAAAGTTAGTTGATAAGCTGTAGCAATTAACAGTAACAGTAATGTCACAAAATAGAATAAAAAAGAAAACAGAAACTACATAAAATAAATAAGGTTTTACGGAATTTGTTGATGAGGTCTATTTATAAAAACTCTTGTCAACCCATATATAGTTTATGTATGATTCTATGATTGATTTTTTCTTAAACTTATTTAATAATGCTACACTTGTCACCGATATTATACATTCACAATCGATTTCAACTGATTTATGATGATAACTTTTTCTTATATTTAATAACTTATCTCATGCGTAACTCTAACAAACATGAATATTGAGATTCATTAAACTGATACAGTATTGACATATACAATAATAGTAAACAAATTGTGATAACAAAATGTCAGAATGTGATTACAAAAAAAAACCACTAATATCTAACATTTAGAGATATGGCAATGTAGCATTGTTAAATAATCTAATTGAAGCACAAAACCAAATGAGAAGTTATTTGGTGGTCCTGCAGCACGATCACGTGATGCCTTAAGTATATTGTGATTAGTATGAAGAGTAAAACCTATAATTTTGTATTAGGTGATTGAAAAATAATAAAAAATATAATAATTTATAATTGGTCAAAGATATGGCCACGTCACTACAAAAAATTAAGGTTTTAGAGACCAAAATTTAGGAACAAAATTATATTTTAGGGACCAAATATTTTTATTGTGAAAAATGTCATCATTATATTTTTAACAACAAAAATTAGGCATTAGTGATGAATTATTATCTTTTTTTGACCAAATTTTTTGTCTAAAAAAATAAACTATTTTGAGACCAAATTATTTTTTTCCTAAAAGTCTATTTATTAGTGACATTTTCAAAATTTTGTCGCTAAAAGTCTTATTTTTGACTTTTCGAGATGACCTTTTAGCAACTATCCTCATGACAGTAGAAATTGGTCCCTAAATACTTTTTGTAACAAAATTTTTACTTTTAAAAACTAAAACATTTGATCTTTAAAATTTTTATATGCTGTAGTGCTTGACGCCTAAACCATGATATAATTTTTCGGACCAAATACTTAAAAGGACAAAGCAACATGACCTAATCTGGCCAAGTGTACAGTGCTAGCTAACATTGTCACTATAGTTGGCCAGGTACAATGATATGCCACGCCATGGAGCTTTCCCACACAACACGAATAGCTCTTGAACAGGTAAAACAACTCTATTATATAATATTTTTTTTGTACTTTGCAGAATTAGTTTCAGAGAGAGAAAAGGATCTGCAAAACCATCCATTGTTACACTTTGAATATAAAAAAAATGGAATAAATAAGTTTTAAGGTGTCAAAATGCTTTGGGGTATGCTTTGTTTGAACAATAAAAATTTGTATTTTTCTTCATATCATAATACAACAATGAAAGTGACTGCCACAAACAACACCGAAAACAACATCAGTTTCTCAAACTTATACAACTGTTTCTAGGAGTTATACAAGTCGGACGCCGAATAGAACAAGTCAGCATTGTTTTTAACACCACCATGTGGCACTCTCTCCTTCAAGCCGGCCGTAAAATTTCCCAATCCCTTATATTTGCACCAAATTCATCTTCTTCCTCACTTCCTAGCTCACTCTCTCTTCATGGGTTTTGATTCTCCTTCAAAACCCATCAAAGAGAACCAAAAATCACTGAAAAAAAAGACCAATCATCAAAGCATCACAACAACAAGAAGAAGAAGCTTTGTTTGAAGCATATACATAGAAAGAAATTAAGATGGACAGGCTCATAAGCTTAGAGCCTTCAAGCCTCGTCGCGATCAGGATCGAACAAGGACATAGGTGTTATGGGGAGGTCACTTTGCGCAATGTCATGTACACCATGCCAGTCGCTTTTAGGCTTCAACCGGTGAACAAGTCTCGCTACACGGTTCGCCCACAATCGGGGATCATAGCGCCTCTCACCACACTCACCGTGGAGATAACCTATCATATCCCTTCCAATTCATATCTTCCTGACTCCTTCCCTCATTGCACCGATGCGTTCCAATTACACAGCGTTGTGGTACCCGGTGCAGCGATCAAGGACCCTTCATCAACGTTTGATTCGGTCCCAAATGACTGGTTCACTACGAAGAAGAAGCAAGTGTTCATCGACAGTGGCCTTAAAATCATGTTTGTTGGGTCTCCCATATTGGCTCAGCTTGTTGCAAATGGTTCCATGGATGAAATTAGAGAAGTGCTAGAGAAGAGTGACCCGGAATGGAAGCCGGCTGATTCGGTTGATGCAGATGGGCAGACACTGCTTCACTCAGCAATCACTCAAAGCCGTGCTGACCTTGTCCAGCTCCTCCTCGAGTTCGAGCCTGATATCGAGGCTCAAAGCAGGTCCGGGTCTAGTCCCCTTGAGGCGGCTGCAGCAGCCGGAGAAGGGTTGATCGTAGAGCTCTTATTGGCTCACAAAGCGAGCACGGAGAGGTCAGAGTGCTCCACTTGGGGCCCGATTCACCTCGCTTCCGGTGGAGGTCACATGGAGGTTTTGAGGCTACTTTTACTCAAGGGCGCAAACGTGGACGCCCCAACGAAAGACGGAAACACAGCCTTGCACCTGGCAGTTGAGGAGCGGAGGAGGGACTGCGCCAGGCTGTTGCTGGCAAGTGGCGCGAGGGCTGATATTCGAAACACTGGCGATGGCGACACCGCACTACATATCACGGCGGGGCGCGGGGATGAGCACATGGTCAAGCTTTTACTTCAGAAAGGAGCCAACAAAGACATTAGAAACCGGCATGGAAAGACAGCCTATGATGTTGCAGCCGAGTATGGCCACACTAGGCTTTTCGATGCTCTTCGCCTCGGGGACAGCCTATGTGTGGCTGCACGGAAGGGCGAGACGAGAACAATTCACAGGCTTTTGGAGAACGGAGCCGCGATCAATGGGAGAGACCAGCACGGGTGGACAGCACTGCACCGAGCATCGTTTAAGGGGAAAATTGAAGCAGTCAGGGCTCTGATTGAAAAGGGTATTGATGTTGATGGTATAGATGAAGATGGGTACACAGCCTTGCACTGTGCTGTGGAATCTGGACATGCCGATGTGATCGAGTTGTTGGTGAAGAAAGGGGCTGATGTAGAGGCAAGAACAAACAAGGGTGTGAGTGCAATGCAGATTGCCGAATCATTGAACTATTTGGGGATCACAAGGATACTAATTCAGGGTGGTGCAACCAAAGATGGTGTCTCCCAGGGTGGTGGTGGCGGTGTAGTACCGGCTATGCTTCCATTTGGGAATGGGATGAAGGCTAGAGAAACAGAGGTTGGGGAGCTGAAAAAGAAACCAAGTAGGCGAGGAAGATCACGTCGGAGTAGCTACGACAGGTCCATGGCTTTGGCTGTGATCTAGCAGGGATATATAACACAAAGCCGTGAACTTTTTTTGCTTCCTCAACATGGATAATGAGTCATGAGAGTGATCAGATTGATTCTTTCTTTAGATGAGATTTGTGGAAGAAGATGTAGACCGACATATGTTCATTCTATTAAAACTCAATACATACTGTTATTACAACATTCTTAAACCTCAAAAAAAGGGAAAGACAAAAAAAAAAAAAAATTGTAATTTTATAAGACTTTTGTGTTTTGTTGTAGTGTACACTGATGTGGCGGGAGGTGTATGCAACTGGCTTGTAAGATGATCTATATATAGCTCTCCATCTCATTTTGACATAAGGTGGATGAAGCAAAAATGTCATTTGTAACATACATCAATAAAATTGCATTTCAGGAAACAACATTTTGTGTCAACGAATTTCAAAGAGTAAAGATTAGTACAAGAAAAACTGAAGAACACAACCAGACAATGCCAAGATTTCAGAGCAGCAAGAGACATATACGAATTGGGGAAGATGAAAGAATTTTGAGTCATAGAATGCAATTCATATACCATGTAATTGAAGGAATGGAGAGACAGGGCTAAGAAATTGATGTGTGGCTTTGATGCATGAATTTGGTTGTTTCAATTCAATCAACCTCATGAACAGAGACGTGATCGACGAATTGTTGTGGCTGCAAATCAATCAAACACCAGCAGTTCTTCCACGGCATTGCCAGGCACAATTGGCAATTGACCGACTCAACCACAATTTGGGGGTTTTTTGTGACCTAGGTTAGTAGAAAACAACATCTGCAGTACACTAATTTCATATATTTTACTTTTATTTCTTGATTTCCCACAACCACACCATTAATTTTGCAGATTGTTCGTTAAATTGCTTGATTTGGGGTTTTTTTGATTTCTCAATCCTTAATTTTGTGTCCCAACCATGTTTAAGTGGAGACCGGTGTGGACTGCAATTTTAGTGAGATTAGTATGTTCTAACCCCATTGGAGGCCGAGAAAAAGCCACCCTTTGAGAAAACCCGACCTAAAACATATGACAACCCAATCTACTTCCATTTGTCCTTCACAAAATTCATTTATAGTCAAAACAAAAAAAACACATCTTGAATTTTTGCCCTCTTCGGACAAAAATTCACCAAAGAAAATAAGTGAATGAATATCGCGTCTGCATCAAAAGAAGAGGCAGCAAATTTTGTTAAATCGACAATGCCACGGGAGGATTTGATTCAACAATTTTTTTTTTTGTTCACCCATTAAGTTGAAGAGTCTATTTCAAGTGGGCAGTGTTGCTCCAATGAGTACTCTAAGAAAGAGCAAAATAAAGAGCCTAGGAAGAGGAAGAAAATTTGATTATTATATATAGGTAAAATATTCCTTCTGGTTAACAATAATTTTCTTAGAACTCAAAAATCAGGTGTAAGAGGGGCTAATTTGAGCCCACTAAATTATTTAGACCCAATAGCCCAAGATTAGTGGGCCCGAATTTATCGCAAGTCCAAGAATCGGTGGGCCCAGATTTATCGCCATCAAACGGATTGAATCGCTCTAAGCCTCGAAAGGGTTCGGATCCACGAACCTAGAGACTTACTCAGGCCCGGAACTCGAAAGGGTATTAGGCAAGCCTAGAGATCCGAGGCACTCGGACTCGAAAGGATTCGGATCCACGAATCTAGAGATCCGAAGTACTTGGCTTCGAACGGATTCAGACGCAATCTAGAAGTCGCTCCGTTAATGAGTCCCAGAACACTTGCTGGCTCGGAGCTTTCCGGGATCTACGCACCAGAACCATGGGCGTAATGGAGTTCGAACAAAGGACCCGATCCCGAGGACGGTGAGTGGAGATAAATTCACTCTTCGGTTAAACTAGCCTATACCCGGGTCGAGGTGGCACGACCTCGGGGGGTCCATGAGACTCGGCAATATTTTGCGGCAGGACGTCCTCTGGGACTTCCCCTGACCCTTTGGGATGATTGGGGATCATTGGTTAGGTGTGGCTAAGAAGAAGGGTTCGCCGAGGGATTGATCTCCTCTTCGGGGTTTTCTCATCCTCGGAGAAGTCACCTCCTCGGAGGAGTCACCTCCTCGGAGAGGTCACCTCCTCGGACAAGGTGGTTAGAGATAATATCCCCTATGTGCCTTGCACATGGGCTCCATCCTACATCATGAGGTGCCTATAAATAGCACCTACCCATAACTTTACAAGGGATGGATTTTGGAGATTTTTTAACTCTTGGGAAAGAACTAATTTCCCTTCTCCATTATCAACCTTGAGAGTGAAAGTGGGAGATCCATGGGAGAGCCTTGCCATTATTCTATTCTCTAGCCATTTTGCCTTCTTCTTCACCCAATCTCTTATCTCCATCATCTCCTTTGTTGTTGTGTTCCTAAGTTGAGATTATTGAAGAATCTAAGGCTCTCATCATATTCTAGAGAATTCGAAGTTGTTCTTCAAGGATCTTCGAAGATCTTCGAATTTTCCAACTCCTTTCTTGAACCCTCTCCTACATCAGGAAACAAATTCCATTAGCTTAGCTTATCAATCGTTTAGATGTACATGAAAAAGGTAACACCAAATTCGGAAAGACAGTGGGCGTCGCAGAACTATGAATCTAATATCATAACTTTTTTGAATCTAATATCATAATTTTCTTGATCCGAGAATTATGAATCTAATATCATAATTTTTTTGATTGCTTTTGTTTTCTTTGATTGCTTCATATGTTAGTGTGCCTTTTCTTTGGGATGATCAAGATTTGCTCATTTTTTAGATGCATGTGTATGTCATTTTTGAAGAAAAATTAATTTGATATGATAATTGTAACATAATTTTATTATATTTGTTATGAAGTAAATTTTCAAAATGACATGCCTCCTTAATTTTTTTGATAATAAATTAGATGATGACGATTATCATATCAAATTTATTTTTTCATACATAATTTATACATATGGACCTAAAAATCAAAAGGTACATCATCAATAAATTTATTTTTTCATACATAATTTATATATATGGACCTAAAAATCAAAGGGTACATGATCAATAAAATGGACTACATGGCAAGCCCACAATTGATAATGCAAAGAAATTTCTGTAATTGAATATCTCATGATATTGATTTTAGAAGATGTTATATATCTATCACCTTCATGGAGAGAGCTTGACGTCTCAACATAGAATTTTGATATTAGATTCATACTTTAAAAGGTAATACCAAACTCGGAAAGACAGTGGGCGTCGCAGAACTAGATGGTGGGACCTGAAAGGGAAAAGACTAGACACAATTAATAATAGAATAGATAAAGAAGGTACTTGAGATTTGGAAGATGATGTTAACACTATGTGGAACTTGATAATCAATTATATAAGGAGAATCTCAATGGAAGTTCTTAGGGAGTCAAAAGGAAAATGACCCAACTTTAGGGGAACTTGGTGGTGGAGGGAGGAGGTCCAAGCAATAATAAAGACAAAAAATAGAGCTTTAAAAAGTAGTAGAATGATAGAACCGAGAAAAACCTTAAAAGTTACAGATTGGTCAATAAGAAGGTTAAAAAAAGTAGTGAGAGAGACTAAGTTGAAAACCTATGATGAACCATAGACTAGACTAGATAGTAAGGAGAGAGAAAATAAGATATGCAAACTTGTTAAGATAAGTGAGAGGAAAATAAGAGATTTTAATCAGGTTAAGTGCATTAAAAGCGAGGACTCTAAGGTGTTGGTGAAGGATGAAGAAATTAAGGAGAGGTAGAAGAACTATTTCGAGAAGTTGTTAAATGAGGAACATGGAGGTAGGTCAAAAAAAGAGAAAGTAGGCAATAATAAGAAAAACCAAGACTATAGTTTCTATCGTAAGATTAGGAACTTTGAAATGAAGTTTGCACTTAAGAAGATGAAATCGAATAAGGCTTTAGAACCCGATTATATACCTATTGAAGCTTGAAAATGTTTGGATAAGAAGGAGTTTGTTTCGTTGACTAGGTTATCTAAAGCATGAGAAAGTGTGTCAGCTTGTAAAATCTCTCTACAGATTAAAACAAGCTGCTAAGAAATGACATGAGAAATTTGATCATGTTATGCTAACTAATGAATTTAAGATAAACGAGTGTAACAAATGTGTCTATATTAAAAACACTACAAAGAATATATCATAATTTGTCTTTATGTGGATGACATGCTCATAATTGGTACTAGTCATAATATGATCAAATCAACCAAGCAAATGTTAAACAAAAGATTTGATATGAAAGATATGAGAGTAGCAAATGTTATTCTAGGAATGAAAATTGCTAGAACATCCAACGGATATGCTTTGTCTCAATCACATTATATTGAGAAAATACTTGATAAATATATCAAGGATGATGCAAATGTGGCAAGGATACCTGTAAATGTCAATCTTTATTTGTCAAAAAATAAAGGCGATAGGATATCTCAGTTAAAATATTCCCAAATTATTGGAAGCTTAATGTACCTAATAAATTACACACGTCCAGATATAGCATATGCTGTCAATAAATTAAGCGGGTACACTAGTAACCCCAGAGAAGATCATTAGAAAGCAATGATTCGGGTTCTTAGATATCTAAGATTTGCCAATGATCATGGCTTAAACTTTACTTGATATCCAACAGTACTCGAAGGCTATTGTGATGCAAATTGAATATCGGATACTAAAGATTCAAAATCCACTAGTGGGTATGTCTTTACTCTAGGGGGAGTAACTATTTCGTGGAAATCCTCAAAACAAATGTGCATTGCACGGTCTACAATGGAATCTGAATTCATTACTTTAGATAAAGCAGGAGAAGAAGCAGAATGGCTTCCCCATTTCTTAAAAGATATTCTAATGTGGCCAAAACATGTGTCAGCTATTTGCATTCATTGTGATAGTCAATCTGCAATAGGAAGGGCACAGAGTCATATGTATAATGATAAGTCACGACACATTCGTCATCGACATAATACCGTAAGACAATTGCTCTCAAATAGTATAATCTCAATAAATTATATAAAGTCTAAGGAGAATATCGTGGATCCGTTAACAAAAGGTTTAGCAAAAGAAAAAGTGTATAGTTTATAGAAGGGAATGAGATTAAGGCTTCTTTACATAAGAGTCATCATAATGGTAACCCTACTTAAATGACTGGAGATCTCAAGAACTAAATTCAAAGGAACAACTAAGTTATGTGTGGCTCGTCAAAAATCACTAAAGGATTAAATTCCTTATCGATTCCTATGATGAGAGTGATATCTGCAACATGTGTTGTATCCAGAAGATTAAGGGTAAGCTTTGCTTTTAATGATTACTTAGGAATAAAAAGTCAAGACGAGTATAAGGGATACTCTCAATAAGAATCACCAATATGAGTGTAGAATTGGAGCCGATTCTATGACAATAAAGAGGCTAAATTCT